CCCCCCCCCCGCTCGACCCCACCTTACTCCACCCCCCCTCCCCCAGAAAAAAAAGCAGCTTTTGAAAAATTAAAGAAATGTTACTTTAACAAGAAAACTTTGTTCAATAAAGTTTTCAAATTTTGTTTTTTAATTGCTGCGCTGACCTTAAGTTCAAATCTTTATTGTATCTCAGTAATAGAATTGCCTATGCGAGACTTTTCATTAAACTGCAACTTTTGTATTAGTCTTAGACATGCTTTTGAACGAAATATTTCTTATTTTTTGTTTTCTTCTAAGTATTCTTTCTCAAAAGGTTTCAGAAACGACTGAGTATGTCTGCATTTTTATTAATTCATACTTTTTACTATTTTTTATAATAAACCAAATTTTTATTGCTAGCAAATTAAAAATTTTTTATCAATTACAATTGTGCTGTTTAAAAAGCTTTTTGATTAGAATTGCTAGTAGCACTTGAGATCAGGAACGGAATCAAGTTTAGGAATCTATATGACGTTTCGTGAACGAACTCTTAATACTCTCTTCCACTTGACCATTATCATTGCTCGCATACTTGGATCCGTAGCATACATCTACATGTCCAAGAATTACAATTTAACAGAGGTATGTTACTGCAGATTTATGTTCAGTTTAATTGGTAATTAAGTTTTAAAAAAGTTTGTATAATAAGCAAAACAAAAAGCCGCTTATCTGAATTAGGTTTGAAATGCATCTACTGATCGACAACATACAATTTATGTGACAGACAGAAAAGCCAGTTTGCATAAGCATAGATCATGAAGCAGCGCTGTCAAGACTTATAAAATTTGTATCTGTCATAGAAATACTGCCCTCCTTTGTGGTTAACTGCTGTTTTTGTTCACTGTTTGGCTGCTTCGTCTGTTCCAATTTACTCTGCTAGTTTTGAAATAGTTTTGCAACTGTTCTCGTTCAGTTTGTTCTAAAAGGCAATGTTTTGTATATCTTCACTATTTTCCGTCATTCATAGATACCTTCATAGCTTTTTTTATTCTTGACTTTTCTTTCTTTTATAGCTGTTTTTTCAGTAAATAGATAATGAATACGCTTTTTTGTTCTCAATTTTTACAATTGATAGAACTTCAGAAACAGAATCTTCTTTCAAAAACATCCAAATCTGTTTTTAAAAAACTTTTAATTTGGTCTTAGTTTATTTCAACTATCCAAACTTAAAGACTTTTGGTAGTCCATCTCGAAAATTCTTTTGTGTTTTATTGTTTTTTCTTTCATCTTTCGTCTTCAGAAATTTGAACACGTGTGTAGCAACCAACGCAAAGACAGAAAACGAGAAAAAGTTTAGTCATTGAATTATTCAGTTTTAAAATTCTTTTTTGATGAAACAGCTGAGAGTACTATTTCAAAAATGCAAATTTGTAGACTTTTTGAACTGTTTTCTCAGTTTTCTTAAAGTTTACTTTTAATAGCTTTATTTTTCGCTTTTTCGGCTTTATTCATTATACTGGAAGGCTCAAAATAACAATCAAGCTTATAAAATTAGCCTTTTATTTTGATAAGATTATTTAAAACGAGTATCATTGAAGCGCTACACACTTCAGTCAGATAGATGTAGTAATTTTTCAAAACACGTCTATAGTTTTCTCTATAAAATCACTTTCAGAAACCTAATTTTTAGCCAAAACTCAATAACAAGTAATAAATAAGATTAATACTATCAAAAATTTGACCATTTCATAATTCTTTATATTTTACCCACCCTCCTTTTTTCCATGATTTTTAAGGTCGACAACAAACGACAGTAGCGAGCAAGGAGAAGAATTTTTGCAGTAAACGATGATTGCCTTGCATACTGCTTTTTCTGAACTCTTTCATTCTTTGAGCTTTTTTTCTAGCCTGCATCTGCTTCTGCTCTCATAGTACCAAAACAGCCCTTTTGCACTTATTGACTATAACACTGTCGTATATTATTAAGCACTTTAAGGTACTATTGCTAAAAGTCGTTTGAAGTTAGCGTCGATTAATAAGGTATTTACAGACGTTTTCGGAACATTAATAAGTCTGTGATCAGCAACGTAAGATTCCTTATTTCAGATTAATTTTCTTGTTGCTGAAGCAGATATAATTTTTTATGGCGGAAGATCCGAACTGATTTTCGACACCGTAAGGCCAATCAACAGTCGTGTTAAATATTTCGGTTGTCCACAGTGCAAGTAAGTACTTTTGCGTTCTCAAGCTACAACATTTGTTTATACATTAACCTAAAAAATAGCTACAGTCTTCCATTAAAAGAAAAAAATGATTTAGATTTTTTACAAAACGTTAGTAACTTTTAAACAAACTTTCAGGTCAAAAGATAAGTTCAAAATTAAAATGCCAAAGAGTGTCGTGGATTTTTCACCGAATTGGAACTGTACACACTCTAACACTTCTTACTCAGTCCCACAATGCACCGATCTGCGACAAAAAAAAAGGACAAATAGGGGTAAAAAAGATTTACTCGAATAATCGTTGTTGTTTGCTGCTGCTCTAATTATTCCGCCAATAGACAAGTTATTTTTGAGTTTCGGAAGTTGCGTACTCTGCACTGTCTGTTTACGAGAAGCGCTATATTGAGACCCAAAAGGAATTTCCGAAACTTGACTTTGGTTATCTTCACCACAACAAATTTGCCCTATTGAGCTTCGGCAGTGTCACTAAAGTTTCTTTCAACTATTTGAATTTTTTTGAATCTTTTTTTTATTATTCTTAATTTTTAAAGTTATCCGATTTTTATTTATCGAATATAGTTGAAAAAAATGACAACATAACTTATCAATTATTTCTAATTTTAGTTGGAAAATATGCCAAAAGCGTTGGTTAAAATATTTTTGCAAACTTTTGCAAACCTTAATTACACCGTCATATGGCAGACTAATAGCAAACCGGAAAAGCTTGACATTGGGCCTTTGCCGAGCAATGTTATCCTTATCAAATGGGTGCCGTTAAAAGTTCTTTTAGGTAAGGTTAATGTAACAATTTTAATATAATCATAAAAGGCCGACTATTGAGCAGAAATCTGCAGTATTATTCAACAATAATATTTTAACAATTATACAAGTAAGATTAACAAAAATGGTAGAAAAACATGAGATTTAATGAGCTAAAGAGTGTTTTTTGTAACGTACTGCAATCCTTCATTAGTTGTCTCGCGGACAAAGCTTCTCACATGTGGTGGTTTTTCCATTAAATATTGTATGCCAAAAGAAATTTCATTTTAAACAAAAAAAAGTCTTAGCTACAACTTTTGGACTTAGGACACCCCAATCTTCTGTACTTTATAACTCATGGAGGCATTAATACTGTCAACGAAATTATTTGGTTTGGAGTTCCGATAATTGCTATACCTTTACAGGTGAGCTAGCAAATAACTGTAGATCGAGATGTAGCTTTAAACTAGCTAAATATTATTTGCTTCAGACGTATTTGCTAACTAATTTAAATATTCTTTGGATGATTTGTATGCTCACAAAACACTATCAACTTATAATCTGCTAATAGATAAAAGAAAAAGTTTTAGTTGATAAACAGACGGTAAATTTGAAATCGCTGAGTTAATAGAGAATAATAATTGAAATGCAATGGCGTTATGTATAATACGTGTAGGGAGATCAACCATCGAACACGCAACGTCTTATTGAACTTAAAATCGGCTTATTGTTGCAAGTGGACGATATTTGGCGAGGACAACTGGCGAACGTGATCAAGGATATGGAAGATCATTACACCTGGTGAATTAATTTATTCTGTTAATTATGTAACCTGTTGTATTATTGACAAAATACATGTAAATAAAGCTTAAAGCTCTGCACATTCTTCAAGAAATATTAAGTTGTCATTGCGATGCTTCGAATAATTGCGAGTGATTGATAAAGAACAAGACAAGTATTTTACTTTGTAACTGAATATTGTATCAAAATTTTTTGTACTTTAACGTATTTTTTCAGTTTTAAAAATCGGGCAAAAAAAATTTCTGAAATGGCAGCACATTATCGTGGCTTCGTTTTCCATTCTCAGAAGTTTTGGCTTACGTGGGCATCACGGTACGGACGAATACTGAAGGCTTCAAACAGAAAATATTTTGACTTCAAATACTGGACGTTGTTCGAATATTTTGATGTACCACAGTATTTGATTTATGGGCCATTGTTAATACTGTTGCTAACCATTCTGTCTGTTCATAGCGGTTGACGTTTAGCGTTTGCAACATTGCAGTTTGTTCTTCGACAGAAAATCTTTATTATTTACCAGTCACGAGTCGAGTGCTTGACGAACGGTAGTTTGCATTATTTTTTTAACTGCTATTTTGTTTCGTTTCATTTTACATATTTTAGAAACCAGCTTAAGATACAAAAGTAATAGTTTTTAACAGGTTAACGGTGGTTTTTAATTATTTGTTGAGAGGTTTTTTGCGGTAAAACACATCTGGTTTTATACCACAAACCCCGTGCACTATTGTTTCATTGGTTTTCTCATTTTACAAAAATAAGCCGCTCAAATGCTTAGTGTTTTAATTATTATGGAGACTTTAAAAAAGCAACATTTTGTTAAGTTTGATGAAATTTGCCACAAAAAAACAACGTTGAAAAAATCTTTTGTTTTTTTTTT